TCCACTTTATGCTTCCCATATTTCTTTTGCACAAAAGAATGAGCAGCTTCTTTTTACATTAAAGATAACATACTCTAGGTACTCTTTTGTGCATTGTTTCGTTTGCTTAATAATATATTCTGGGCATCAATTCACAACAGTTTGAAGTGCTATTTATAATTTTTTTTAACAGGTTACATATTACTACAGTTTATGGATTTATCATAAGTCATTCAACTACTCTCCTATATAAGGGCATTTAGGTCATTTACAATATTTTGCTAATAGAAACAGTGCTGCAATGAATAACTTTGCATATATGTATTTTTGTATTGCTTGAGGGGCATCTTCAGGGTAGATTCCTGGAAGTGGGATTGCTGGGTCAAAATGTGAGTGCTCTGTAGTTTTGTTAAGTATTGTCAGATTCTCCTATAGAATGTTAAACCAGTTTTCATTCTCACTTGTAATAGATGAGTGTGCCTGTTTCTCCACAAATTCCACCCAACAGACTGTATTGTCATACTTTTTAGTTTTCATCAGTCTAATAGATGAGAAATAGTACCCGCATGTCGTTTTCTTATTTATCTAAGTATGATGTGCTTGAACATTTTTAAGTCTTCCTAAAGATTGCCTGTTTTTGTTTTCCCCCCCATTTTTTAGTAGTTACTTATTTAGTCCTTTGTTTTTTATTATTAGTGCTTTTTTTTTTCGTATCCCTTAAGATCTTGAATATATTCTCCTACGTTTTCTTTTAGAATCTTTATAACTTTAGCATTCACATTTAAGTCTGTGATTCATCTTGAATTTATTTTTATGTATGGCAAGAAGTAGGGGTAAAGGTTAATTTTTTGCCAGTCAGGTACCCAGTTGTTCCAGCACTCTTTATTGAAGACAGTCCTTGCCTATCTAAATTTCAGGGAGTTCTTGTCTTAAATCAGGTGATATTATATATATGTGATTATTTGGTTCTCTTCCTAGACTTTGTATTCTGTTTTGTTTTATACTTATTTGTCTTTTTGTCAGTATTACTGCCTTAAAATTGGTAGTATTAATCCTTCAACCTTTTTTCTTCAAGACTCTCTTTGCTTTTGTAAGTTTTTTCAATTTCTACATATGTTAGAATCAACTTGTTAACTTCTACCCCCTAAAAAAAAAATTCCCTGCTGAGATTTTGTTTGCAAATTTATGTGTTAATTTTTTTGAGAATTGACATCAATATTAAGTCATTCAATTAATACATATGGTGTATCTCTACATTTATTAAGATTTATAATTTCACCAATTTGTTTTAGTTTTTAGTGTACATCTTTTGTTAGTTTTGTACCTGGGTATTTGATATTTATTTTTGAAGCTATATTTTATTTATTTTTTAGTTGGGGTCTCATTCTGTTACTCAGGCTGGAGTGCAGTGGCATAATCACAGCTCACTGCAGCCTCCACTTCCTGGACTCAGGCAATCCTTCTGCCTCAGCCTCCTGAGTAGGTGAGACTACAGGCGTGCACCACCATGCCTGGCTAATTTAAAAATTTTTTTTTTTTGGTCTCGCTATATTGCCTAGGCTGGTCTTGAACTCCTGGGCTCAAGTAGTCCTTTCTCCTTGGCCTCTCAAACAGCTGGGATTACAGGTGTGAGCAATTGCACCTGGCCTTTTAAAAGTTTCAAATTGTTTGTTGTTGGATGTACAATTGATTTTTATATATTGTCCTTGTATCAGATCATGTTGTTTAATTTTCTTGCTAATTATAAGAATTTATGGGTTATTTAGGATTTTCTATATCTATAACTTATTATCTGCGAATAATGACAAATTTATTTCTTCATTTACAATCTTTATACCTCTTATTTCTTTGTCATATCTTATTGCACTGACTAGGCCCTCCAATACATTATTAAAAATAAATGATCGCCGGATCGGTGGCTCAGCCTGAAATCCCGCGCTTTGGGGGGCCGAGGTGAGTAGATTGCCTGAGCCCGTGGGTTCGAGACCCGCCTGGGCAACTTGGTGAGACCTCATCTCTACAATAAATTTAAAAATCAGCCGGGCGTGGTAGCGCACACCGGTAGTTCCGGCTACTTGGAAGGCTGAGCAGAAGGACTGCCGGAGCCCAGCCAGTCAAGGCTGCGGTGGCCGGGAGCGGCCACTGCACTCGTCTGGGCGACAGAGTGAGACTCCAACTCAATAAATAAATAAATAAATAAGTGATCATAATACACATGACTCTTTTTTTCCTGAATTCAGGGAGAAACTTTTCAGTGTTTTAACATTAAGTATAATATTAGCTAGAGAATTTGATTTTTTTCCTGCTTAGAAGCTAATAAATTGGCCCATTCGTTTCATGAATGGAATGTTGGCAGAAAACATGAAACTTCTGGATCAGAGGCAAAGACTTTGTTACCCACGTCGCAGCCCACAGCATGAGCTCTTTCTCCGCAGTTCCTCTTTCTCTCAGTTCCCATGGGGGCAACATGAGGGCCTACATGGATACTGTTCATACAGTGGGTTTGCTTGGCCACTGAGTAAACTGAGCCTAGAGAATTCATTGCTTTTATAGTGAGCAGGAAGCAAGCCTGCTGTTTGTGTGGAAGAGATGTTATCATCTTATCTCTCAAGGTTATCAGTTGCAAACATAACCCTGGAAAATGGCCCAGTAAAGAGTAGTTAGAGCCTTACATTCTTGGCACATCCAGCAAGATGTGTAAGAGTATGGGAGACACATGGTGGCCTGTTTCTCCCAATAGTAGATATTTCATAGATGCTATTCATCAACTTGAGGAAGTTCTCTTTCTCGTTTCCTAAGACTTTAAAAAAATATATATTAATGAGGGTTGAATTTAATAAAGAAAGAAGCAGATTCCCCAGCTGCAAGAATTCAGCCTGAGAGGCTGCCCTCTAAGGACAAAGATGAGTATTGAGAATGCAACAGGCAAAGTATGGAACTGTTGAAGTGGGAATGTTTCATGCCATTCTGCGTGGAGGTACAGCATTTGAGCTCATCCTTTTAAGCAGGGGAAGGCCAGGAGTAGAGACCAGAAAGGGAGGCTGAAGTGAGGAGTGTAGGAGAAGGAACTCTGTTTCCAAATATTTCTGGATTATTTTGATTCTTTAGTATCGAGCACAATGCCTGGCATATATATGTATATATGTGTGTGTGTAGATACATGCACACACATGTATACATACATACGCATATATAATATACACACACATATATATAATAGGCTTTTTGGTTGATAAAAGAATACTAAGAGTTCTGTGATAGTTCATTTAGAAAAAAATACTAACAGTCTAATATGTTGTAATAATAATTTTTTTTTTTGAGTTGGAATCTCACTCTGTCACCCCAGACTGGAGTGCAGTGGCCGCTCCCGGCCACCGCAGCCTCGACCTGCTGGGCTCCGGCGTTCTTTCTGCCTCAGCCTTCCAAGGAGCCGGAACTACAGGCGTGCGCTACCATGCCCGGCTACTTTTTGATTTGTTGTAGAGACAAGGTCTCGCCAAGTTGCCCGGGTGTGTCTCGAACCCGCGGGCTCAGGCAATCCACTCGCCTCGGCCTCCCAAAATGCTGGCATTACAGGCTGAGCCACCGAGTCCGGCCAGTCATAATAATATTAAAAGGTGCATTCAAGTTTTAAGGAAGAGACACTTTTTGATGACTTTGCTTTTCATTTCCTGGGGAAATTCAGTGTCTAGGGGTAGAGGAAGCCATTAGGTAATCGGTAACGTGGTGTTAGTTTCTGGATGGTTAGTTTGCATGAAATAATTGATAAATTGTTTAATAATCAAGGAGCTTTGTGCATAGGGAACAATGTTCACTGCTCTTTATAGTTTGTACAATTTATTAAGTTCTTGTGTCTCCTAAACAAACCAAAATTTTCTTAAACACTTTAACATTGATCACTAATTCAGTCCTCCTTTATACAATTTAGACTTCTATTAGTATTTTAGTATAATTTATTATTTTAGACACATTAGACATCTTAAAGTGAAGATGCCAGTAAAGAATACATACAATTACTACAAGTTTTATTACACCTTAGAGTCAAAAGCTATTCTAAAGCATCAGCGATGTGAGTTTAGTTCATTTGTACATTGTTTCTGTACTTTTTTTAAACACTTTTATTTATTTATTTTAAAGATGTGGGGTACAATTCAGGATTAGGTATACAAATGTATTTCTATACTTTAAAAAATGATTTTCTATTTTATTGTTATGCTAATTTTAGCATCTTCCTAAGGTTTCAATAATGTTATTTTTTTTTTTATTTTCTGGGTTTTAGGTCTCTTAAGCCAAGGCCCATTAACCCCAAAGCCTTCTCAAACTAGGCAAGATAGTTGTTTCTTGGTCATGACTTGAGACCTGATTATACAATCTAAGCACATTGAAAACTAGTTTGATCAAGGTGTATCCAAACTTAAAATGCTGGGACATGGAGGGGGACAAGGAATGAAAAAACTACCTATTAGGTACCATGTTTACTATTTGGATGATAAGTTCAACAGAAGTGTAGACCTCATCATCATACAATATACCCATGTAACAAACCCGCACATGTACTCCTTGAATCCAAAGTTAAAAAAGAAAATTACAACGCATATAAACTTTGAGTAATTATACCTTTAGGAACTAATCGTTCAGAATTCATATACAGGTAAAATTATATATACACAATGATATTTATTACAGCATTTATTTATTACAGCATTGTTTGTTATAGGGAAAGACTGGAAACAGCCCAAATGATCATTGGTGGAAGGAAGATTAAGTAAATTAGTTAAATAAATTGCACATCCATTTAATGGAATACAGTGTAGTTATTAAGACAATTATGTAGCACAATATGTACTTGTTGGGATTCATTCCAAAATATATTAAGTTAGAATAGCAATGTGTATAACAATGTGTTTAATCTGCTATAATTTGAGTTTAAAACCTTTGTATTTTTGTATGTATGTTTATGTGTGTGTGTATACAAACATTCTCCAAGTCATAATAGATTACCAAAATCCATTTTGCTTCAGTCATAGCCTGGTGTCTTTGGAGCTGGAGATGATGACAGATTTGCCCATTTTTCTCACTGATACCCCTCAAGTGTTTGTGTGGCGTGAACAGACGGGAAATGATCATTCTGGGAGCTGTGAGGCAAGAGAAGTCTCATGTATCTTATTTTACCCTTCCCAGCTCTACCCTTTTCCAAAAAAGGAGCCTGGAGAAGGTCTTTTCCTACAAACATCAAAGCCATGGCTCAGGTGAGATACTGTTTCCTTTTGTTCAAATAGAGTCATTTTTACCCCTAGTACATGTAAACATTTGCTTTCCTCATCATGATGCTTTTGGTGTTAAGAAGAAAACAAATTAAAAAATGCATTTCAGATAGTTTCGTTATAAGCAATGCAAAAGTTCTTTTATCTTTATTTTAAAGAAAGAGTCTCTGACAAGCCAATTTATTGAAAAAAGAAGTGGTAGGCAATTATTGTTAGAAATTTTATACTTTTGACTCACAGTTAACTGTTAGTCAGTCATATGGTTGAATAAAAAGTTTCTCTGAAGAAGTTTTAATCAATGAAAATCTTTCAGAAAATTGCTTATCCATTTTATCAAGAATGCTTATTTCTTCCCATATAGAGATTGTGAATTATATAATATAAAAATGATCTGACCTAAACTAGGTTTGGAATAATTGTTTTCATCCTGGTTTCTAGGGTCCCCTTTCAGGAACTTGACCTCCATTTTCTTCTAAACAATGCAGTACCCTTTCTAGTTCCCCCTTCTTTTAAACAATATTTGTGTATTCATTTACTAAGTCCTTCAGGGTCTCCTATTCAAGACTCCTGCCCGAAATCCTGGTAGGATAGAAATGTGTTCCCCCACATTAAACTAATGAATCTAACTTGCTTAGACAGTGATATGATGGGATAAAAATAAGTAATTGGGGGCATCTCATAGGGAAAAGCCCTAATTAGCTCCACAGACCTGGGCTTTCCAGTAAGAAAATATGTAGAATATTTTGTTCAACTTTAGCCTTTGGACATGGCATGATCTCCTAGTTTATGAACCTATGTTTAGAAGTGTGACTAATGGTTGGTATGAAATTCTGACACCCCACTAAGCATCCATGAAGAATTGACGTCAGTAATGCCATTGTGTGAATCTGGATCATCCTCTACAAATTTTCTTTAGAGAAATTTTTACATTTGAGCAATGGATGGTTGTAAATAAGACTGGGTCAATGTTAAGGAGGTCTTTAAAGATCAACCCAGCCTAAATGTCTAAAGATAAGAGAATGAATGTTATTTATATCCTTATAATAGAATATTATTCAATGAGAAAAAGTATGTGTATAAACAGCATTTGTTGTAATAATGAATAATTCTTATTACAGTGTAGCATGAGAATGGATCGGTTCTAAGTTATATGCTAATTAAATTTTCTAAGATACAATTATTTTATTTTATTTTTTAGATTAGAAAATACAGTTTATTTAGAAAGCAGATTGGAGAGAGTAAAAAAAGGAGATTCAGCTCTCCAACATGGGGGAGGGGACCACAGCTTAGGGAAACAGCCCAGCGAGAGCTCAAAGAGCCATGTGGCTGAGCCAGGGCTTAACAAAAACATGGCCATAATTATTTTTAAAAGTCATTTCACACATGTCTACAAGGGAAGTTTGATGCCAGTCTTTGTCCCATCACCAGTCCCACTCTTGAATATGGTTTAAATTATAATTTGTTTATAGATTCATTTCACTCATTATCTCTTAGTTTACTGCAAAGTGAAAAGGAACATTTTATTCCATATTGCACTTTCCATTTTCCCTGGCTATTATTAATTATATCACCATTTTTGGTTAAATCAATTGTATCCAACATTGGCTGCAAGTATCATTCTTTGCCAAGCCAGCTCATGGCTTTATTTTACACAGTCTTTCATTTTCCTGGGGTTAATTTCTTTTATCCCTCATTTGCTCAGTTGTTCTTGTATTTATATCCAAAATCTCCAGCATTACCGCCACATGCCAGTCAATAAGTTTTCCATCTGGTCAGATACATCAGTTCCTTTTCATATAGAGACTTTCTTTCCCATTCCTTTTTCTCCTTTCTCCCATCTGGTCTGATTTCCCTCTAGGTCTGCTGCAGTTAGTTTTCTGAGACTTCTCTTTTGTTATTTTTCTTGAATTTTCTTTCACAACTCTCTTGTGTACTTTACTTGTTTCCTGAATCCCATGTTGTCTTCTTTACTGGCATACTCTCTCATTTTTATGGAGCACATCCTCCAAAAGTTTCCCAAGAAACTGTGCTTGAGTCCTTGGATACCTAGGAACATCTTTTCTCAACAGTTATAATAGACTGATAGTTTGATTATGAAATTCTAGGTCAGAATTTATTTTCTCCATCAAATTATTAAAAAATGTTCTTATTTTTTCTTGCTTTTAGGGATGTTCTTGAGAATTCCATTGCCTGTCTGATTTTTAATGTCTTTAATAGGACCTGCTCTCCTCTCGATACTTTTAATGTCTTGTCCTTATCCCTTATTTTGAAATTTTACCCTTAGCTATTTGGGAAAATGGGAGGGAGAAAGAAAAGCACATGGGTTATTGATTTATTATATGACAGGTATTGTGCTAGGCATTGTCTCTTCAATTTGATTTCATTTAGAAGTTCCTTATAGCTCAATTTTGTTCTTTCTTAGCCTTGTTTGGATAATGCAAATATCCCACCATACCCAGGCAGTTTTGTCTGGAGGAAACAGAATGACATGGAAGCACAGTGATTCAGTTGTGCTTATTTGTTTTCAGTCCTCTACTGTGTCTGACATTCATAGGCTCACTATATTTCACTTCCTCTACCTTAATCTTTTTTTCCTCTCTTTCCTTTACGAAAAAAAACTTTTTATTAATCTAGTCATATACATGGTTATTGTTCTAGGAGTCAGTGATGTTCAGTGATGTGTCCATAGACTTCTCTCAGGAGGAGTGGGAATACCTGAATGATGATCAGAGAGATTTATACAGAGATGTGATGTTGGAGAATTACAGCAACCTGATTTCAATGGGTAAGGACATCTGTCCATAATAATTTAGATTCTGCCCCTAAAGGTCTACTTCCCCCAATGTGAAATGTTCTCCAAACTTTCAAAAACCAGTTGGGTTTCTACATCCTGTTCTCACAGGAATGTTCTGAGTATGTTCTGAATGCATTGAATGTTTCCAGTCTTCTGTTATGTTTCATATGTCCTTGTGTCTTTCTTTGACTCTATAGTGTCATGTCTTTATATTAAAGGGACTAGAATTTTCTTGGCCATTCTCATTATAAATTTGTCTCATTACTTTTTTTGGAAGCAGGACACTCTATTTCTAAACCAAATGTGATCTCCTTCCTGGAGCAAGGGAAGGAGCCCTGGTTGGTTGACAGAGAGCTGACAAGAGGCCATTGGCCAGGTAAGTGAGACACAGCAGATAATGACCCAGCTGGTCAGTGGAGACACTACATTGCATCTTTGAGATGCTATCTGGGAAGCTTCCCTCAAAAGCTTTAGGCCTGTTGTATAGACTAAGACCTTTTCAGCATGAGCTTTCAAATGAACCTACCTTTTCCCCTTATCTAACATACTTTCCCTGTTTTTCTTTCCTTATATCTCTCTCATTTCTAGCTAGCTGGTGCTCTCTTCTACCGTCTCTAAGTATATTATTTTCTATCTATATTTTAGATTCATTTCCTTTCCAGCTTCGCATCCTCTTTTGTATTTATTCTTATAAAAGCATCACTATCTCCTGAAATATTTTTCTTTCCATTGCCAAAGGCTTATTTTCTCTAACTTGTTTTTTAATATAGGAGTTTATATACTCTTATTGATTTATTACACTTTTTACCAACACTTTCTGATTTTCTAACGTGTGAGGTAGTCAGCTAGATGCTGCAGAGATTTAAAAAGGAATACGCGGTTTTAGAATGTATGGCCTAGTAGAAATACTAGAACATGTCCACAAATTACTTCTACAAAGTAGAACCACCATAAGTGAAGTTAAATGGGGAACTTAGCAGAAGGTGAGGACCAACAATGTAGAAGAGAAGTTTATCCACATAGAAGTCATAGAGGGAGATTTAAGAACGCATGTGATTGACTTTAGATAGAGTGGTAGAAATAAAGGGCCTGTGTCTTCATGGAAAAGATAACAGCTAGTAAAGATAGAGAGATTTGGTGTGAAGAAAGAAAAACAGGACAGCATATTCATTCATTCAGTATGTTTACTGAGTATCAGTCATATGCCCAGCACTATTTGCAAACACTGAGGTTACTATAATGAATAGAATGTGCATAATCTCTGAGACAAAAGTGTGCATTGTCTGTCTTAGAGACCAGTGACTGGAGAAGAGTGAGAGCAGAGAGGAATGTGGGTAGGAGGTAAGGTCAAAGAAGCGGGAGTGGGGAAGAGTATATGGATAGTTTATTGCCACACAGGCCATGATAAATCATTTCACTCTAAGACAGGAAATCACTGGAAGGCTGTGAGCATTTGGATGTCATGATCCAACTCATGTTTTTGGTTTTTTGTGTTTTGTTTGTTTTTTGAATTGGGGTCTTACTCTGTTGTCCAGACTGGAAGGCAGTGGCACGATCACGGCTTACCATAACCTTGAACTGCTGGGCTCAAACAATCTTCCCTCCCTCAGCCTCCTGAGTAGCTGGTACTACAGGCACACGCTACTACACTTGGTTCCTTTTTTTTTGTTTTGTAGAGATGAGGTTTTGCTATGTTGCCTGCTATATGTTGCCCAGGCTGAACTCCTGGGCTGAAGCAGTCCTCCTGCCTTGGCTTCCCAAAGAGCTAGGGTTATAGGTGTCAGCCACTGCACCCATCCCCAACTTACGTTTTAAAAGGGTCACCCTATCTGCTTTGTAGGAAGTGAGACTGGAAGCATAAAGACTGTTTAATGAACTTTTGTAATCTGGTTTAGGTATGATGATGACTTAGAGACCATTTAAGTGTTATCAGTGGCAGTGAGAAGGAAGTGGTGGAACTTGAAATCTTTTCAAGGAAGGGTTGGTAGAATTTAGTTATCTCATCTCTACAAAAAAATCAAAAAATTAGCTGGGCATGATGGTACATACTTGTAGTCCCAGCTACTTGTGAGGCTGGAGAGGCTGAGGTAGGAGGATCGCTTAAGCCCAGGAGTTTGAGGCTGCAATGAGCTGTGATTGTAACACTGCACTCCAGCATGAGTGATAGAGACCCTGGTTCAGGAGAAAAAAAAATTCTTTTTTTCTTTTAATGCAATTAAAAAATTTATACTTGTATATTTGGGCTGCTTTGCAATCAGTAATTGTAAAAGCACCATTCTGCTGCACAACTTATGCATATAGATTTTTCTGTATTTGCTTAGGATAGATTCTCAGAGGCAAGATACTTTTAAAGCTTTCACACACTTAAAATAGTTGGTAGTATTCATTTATTATGCTCTTTAGAAATGGTTAATTTTTATTTTAAGTAAATGTTTTTTGTTCATTTCTTTGACATGTCATACAATACTATTTTTCATTGTGAAAATTTTCAAAAATACATGCTACACATGCTTCATCTATCCCTATTGTTGTTGCTCGCATATTTTCAGACAAATCCAAAATCTCATGTCATCTTACCCTTGCAAGCGTATGTAATTCTACAAGGTAGGATGTTTTCTCCCTTATATAACCTTAATGCAATTATTATCCCTAATAAATTTTACAATGATTTGTTGGTATCCTGGATTGTTTTATTTTTATTATATTGAGTACTTATGGGAGCAGACATTTTTACCATAATGGTGGAAATTATCTTTTAGTTGTTCATTCCTGTATCTTACAGTTTTAATCTATTATTATATTTTTTCAAATTCATGGACTCTATGAAAATAAGAACATTTATCAGTTTGCAGTGGGTACTTTTCTTTTTTGATTTTAGTTTGGATTGGCATTTTTAATATGGATATTATAATGTGTTTATAGTCAGTTCCTTTTTGGTAGTTATGACTTCTGATTGTGGAAAATTAACTGGCCTCTACAAATTTTATAGATATTAAGTTCTGTTTTTTAAATATTTTCTGTAATTTGTTTTTATAACTTTTAAATCCCTTTTTAATTTCATCTGCAATAAGGTATAAATTAAAAGTACAAATCAAACCCCTGCCACCACACGCTCATATCTTATTTTGTAGCATTTATGTAATAGCAGCTTATTTTATCAGTTTTACCTGCCTCCTTGATGATAGGTTTAAGTTCTGATTTATTTTAGTTTATATTCCAGACCCTTTTTTCTGTTTCTTTGATCTATCTATCCACTTGTGCCTGCAGAGATAGATATGCCTAGCAGGCAGTATATTTTAGTTATTTTTACTGGAAATTATCACAAATACAGAAAAGTAACAAAATTTAGATACATATTTACATGATGGTGAAATGAATTCTCATAGAACAGTTACCCAGGTTAAGAACTACGGCACTTCCAATACACTTCTCTTTGTGTTCCTTTGTAGTTTTACAAACTGAGAATGCCACTTAAAACCACCTAAAATAATATAGTTAGTTTTACTTGACTTTGGATTTTATGTAAATGGACTCATACAACATATATTCTATCTTACTTTTTTCTTGCATATTTTGCTTTTAAGATTCATAGGTATTGTTGCTTGTAGTCAGATTCATTGATCCATTTCACTATGTGAATATACCATAGTTACCAGTTCTACTGTTCATAAACAATTGGTTTGTTTCTAGTTTTTGGCAATTACATACTGCCTCTATGAACATTTTCTGTGTTTTAGGACTAGGAGAGAAATGAATGGGTCATAAGGCATCATATCTCCAGCTCCCTAATTTAAAATTTTTCTTTAATGCTTGTACTTATTTACAATTGCACCAGCAGTACAAGAGTTTTCCCATTGTTGTACATGCTTCCTAATGTGTAGTATTGTCAAATTTTGATTTTGATCAGTTAGTGAGTATATAATAATACTTAATATTGTAAGTTTTTAATATTAGTATAGTCAAATTTATCAGTCTTTTGTGCATCACACTTGTTGGATCTTATTGGAGGAATTCTTCCTCACTGTAGTAATGAATCTTATGTAAATGGAATAACCTGATATGTATAATAAGCCTTTAATATCTGTGGATTCTGCATCTGCAGATTCAACCAAACACAGATATAAAATACATTTATATGGCCCTCCATATTAGTAGGTTTGAACCCATAGTTGATGGAAACTAACTTATTATGCCATTTTGTATAATGTACTTGAGCACCTGCAGATTTTGGTATCTGCTGCAGTTTTGGAATCAATCCCCCTGCTGATACCTGGGCAGGTTGTACATTTTTGTCCTTTTTAATATGTCTTTGCCTACCACAAGGCCATAAAGATATTCTTCTCTGTTTTCTTTTTGATATATGCTTCTTGTTCCTTTGTAATCTTTTCCTCTGATGGACTCAATTTTTACTGTTATATATTCAGATGTGGTTACCTTTATTCCCTTTATGTTTTGCTTCTGGTAGTATTTTTCAATGAGTTCTTACATCTTTCTTTAGTGGTAGGAAATCCTTGGTAGTCACCTCTTTAGCTATCATCTTGCTACGATTTATTTTTCTTCTTTTGCTCCTGTGGAACCCACATAAAACATCTGTATTATCGTCCATGTCTCTTACTTTTCATCTGTTTTTCCATTTATAATGCCTTTGTATATATTTACTTGGGCTTGATTTGTACTGATTTGCTAATATATTCTTCAACTATGACCTTTAAGACTTTTCATCTTATCTGTTAAGTTCTTCCTTTAAAATATTATTTACAAAACATTACACACAAAACTATGTAAAACAGGTCATTATCATAATATTTAAGTCAAATGATTTGTTTGGAAGTACACTTAGGAATCTTATTGCTGAGTCTTGGTATAGCTTTACAAGGTTATATGAAACTGTTTTCCAAGTGTATTAGTTTCTGTGGGAAATACCTTTGCTCCACTATCTCACCCTATGATATTTTAAGATTTTTTTTCCCTCATTTTTTAGCAATCTGATTGATGGGTAGGACATCTTATTTTATTGTATTAAGTTAAAATTCCCTGGTTATATTGAAGATGATTACCTTTTCATATGTTTATTGGCCATTAGTGTCTCTGCTGTGTTATTCTGTTTTGATTTTTTTTTTTTTTTTTTGAGTCAGGGTCTCACTCTATCACCTAGGCTAGAGGGCAGTGGCACAGTCATGGCTGTCCACAGCCTCAAGCTTCTGAGCTCATGCGATCCTTCCACCTCAGCCTCCCGAATAACTGGGACTATAGGTAGCCTGCCCCCACACCTGGCTACTTTTTAAAATTTTTTTTGTAGAGATGAAGTCTCACTATGTTGCCCAAGATGGTAACTCCTGGGCTTAAGCAATCCTCTTTCCTCACCCTCCCAAAGTG